TCATTTTATGGTTGGTCAATTTTTAAAAATTTAATTAAATTCATTATTTTAGTTAATATTTGAAATTTCATAAACAAAATAATTAAAGAAAAAATATTTTTTCAAGATAAAAATAAACCCTTAATTTTTTGAATACCCCCACTACTAAAGCCAGCACCCATCCTCGCCCTTGCCCCGTTGGCCATCGTCGATACCACCCTGAGCGTCAAATACCTCCACCTCCCATCCCCACTACGATATCACCATCCCTCCTACCCCCTCAAAATCCCCACTAAATCCACTATCCCTTGCTTTCCCCACCATAAAAAATCGTATCACATCCCCACAATCGAAGTCGCAAATTTTCATAACAACAACAGCAAAGTGGGTGTTGGGTTTCGAGGTGGATTTGGTTAGGTTTCAAGGTCAATATGGTAATATTCCGATGGTTAGGGTGAGGAATCGAGGTATGTGGTGGTTTCCAGAATGGTAACTATAAAATGGAGTTTCGGGGTAAGGTGGTTCAGGTGGGTTTTGGGATTTCTGCGCGGGTTAGGATGGGTCGTCGGCGCTCAAGGAGGGGAACAAAGGGGTCAGGGACCCGGGGGGCCGGAGGGGGAGGTGGTTTGTTTGGTGGTTGTCGGGGATAGGGGTGGAGCGCTGGTATGTGGTAGGTTTTTTTTTTAATACAATTTAATTAATTATCAATTATAAAATAAGAAAAAAAATTAATAAGAACTAGGAAAAAGTGTCCTATTTGGTAGGTTGTAAGTCATCTGACTTATTTAAAGAAAATACCCCATAAAGGTTAACTTACTATGGGTTAATTAAAAGGTTTGTTTATTTTGGGAAGATCGAGCAAATATTTGCTTATTTTTGACAAATTTTCATAATTTTTTCCCTACTTTCTTTGTATTTTCTTTTTCACTAGTTGGTTCTTGTAAAGTTTTTTGTATAAAATCTCTTTTGTACTTTTGTTTTATTTCTGTAAAAATATACATTCATCTGTTACAATCTATCTATAAACCTATACTAAAGGCGAAACCTGGAATGACACTTGTCATTTCCTGGTTAAAAATTTTCCCGCCTTTTTTTTTTTTTTTTTGCGATATTTTAAAGACATTCATTTTATAACCTACAATAATAGTTATTTCCATTTTAACAACATATTTAATCTCATTATACTCAATTTTTTGTACATGTATTTTATATACTAGGAAACTTTTAGTTTCATAAATACTAAGATAGATTATTATAATATTATAAATATCAATTTTTTTTCTCCAACTTTCATTATTTGACAATAAAATTTATTTTAATTAAAAAAAATATCATTTGGTAGCATACTTTATATAAATCTTAAAATTATATATCATTTATAAGAACAAATCCATTCTATTATAGTATACATAACATATATTGGAAAATTTGATCTAATTACTCTAATATTTATATGATTATTAAAAAAATAAAAACTCCTACTACTCACTAAAAATATATTTAAAAAATTGATTATGAAATATTGATAATTCTAAAGTAAAATAAAATCAAATAAATTTTCATATTTCTATGAAAATATGTTAATAATTTAAGGATAGATGTATATTAATTCGCATATGGGTACAAAATCTAAGCTGATATTATAATTTTATTATATAAAACCTTATAGCTTCTAAATTTCTATTATTATATTATTTTTTTATACAATCAAATTCAATAACCTTTACGTATTTCAGTATTTAGTATTCGTAAAATTCAAGTTATTTTGTTACAAATAATTTTTTAAGATAAATTAATATTGAATTCACACCATTATTTGTAATTTTTTTTTTTTGAAACCACCATTATTTGTAATTTATTTGTTGTAAAATTTAATTATTACCGTGCATGGCACGGGACTTAACCTAGTTCACTCTTATTATATTGTAGTGTTTATCTGAAATAATAACATTCTTATATCGATCATGGGACATTCTTATACCAAGAAATCTATTGGACTTGAGAATTTTTCCGAAAAAGAAAAAAAAATCATCTTAACGGGACCTCTCACAACATATGTTATAGATTCATTAGGAAAATGTCATATCAATTCATGTATATGACTAATGACTTAGCATAACAAAGCTAGTATAGTTGTCTGATAATAATAATCTAATACTCATAAATCATAATTTAAGCAATACTAAAATCAAGTTGCACCATGAATATTTATAAATACTTAGCATCATTCACCATATCCTACTGTCTTCATGATCTCAACCATAGACCTACTCAAATTGTAACGAATTTCTCCAAGGCCTTATTTCTAATCTTCTTCATTATCAGGTTAGTTATTTTACTTATTTACTTCAGCTTTTATTTTTCTTTTTAAGGCAAATAAGATTAATACTACATTAATTTTTTTCTCCCCTTAGATTTTAATTTAATTCTTACTATTTTTATCAATAATGAATTTCTTTAATTTTCTCTTTGTTTGAATAACATGATAGAATAAGAGAAAGAATGAGGAAGTTATTAAGAGGAGGAATTGGAAGGGTAGGGAAAACAAAGGGAGCAAGAAGGTGTCAGTTTTCCCTTCAATTCTATCGAATTTTGCAAGGATAATCTTAACTACTCTTAAAAAAGAAAGATGTCCCAAACCCCTTATTCAAACATGGAAACTTGTTCCCCTTTCTCTATCATTTTCTTCACATTTTGCAAAGATAATTTGACTTTTGATACCATCAAAACACTCTAATTTAATTTTTAATACCTATTTAAAATTAATTTTTAATTAAAAAAAATACACATTAACTATCCCATCTTTGTCTGATTTACTTTAAATAATCATAACTTTTATTTGATTATTTTGCAATAATCCCAACTTTCTCTTACATTTTAGGAAAAATAGAAATAAATAATCTCACCTTTGTCTGATCTAACAATAACAATCCCACCTTTTGATTATTACGAGACAATCCCACCTTTGCATGTCATCTTCTTTTAATAGACCCTGACTTGTTGGTGACCGATTTTTGTAGGTTATATGCCACGTGTCAATATGTAATAGGTTTATTTCATTTTTTTTAAAAAAATAACAAAAATACAGAAAAAAAAAAAAAGAAAAAAAAAACCAGCCACCAAACCCCACCATGAAACCCTACCCCCTACCCCAACCACCACCAAAAACCGGCCGGCCGCCCACCTTAACCTCCGAAAATGGCCGGCCGGAACCAAGGATGTGATTTTAGGGTGTTTAGGGGGGTTTTCGGGGCTAGGGTGGGAATATTCGGGGTGGTTATGGAGGTTGGGTGGGATTTTTTGAGGCTGGTTAGGGATGTTGGGATGAAGTTGTTGGTGATTTTTGGCGGTTTATCGGTAGCTAGGTGGGGTTTTCGGCGGTTGTGTGGGCTTGCGGCAGGTTTTACGGCAACTAGGTGGGGTATTCGGGGTGGTGGTTTTGGGGGTTTTGGGGGTGGGATTGTGGGTCACAGGGTGATGTCGGGGGTAGGTTGTGGTCGGCGGGGTGGTTTTTTGTATTTAGGGGTTCTGGCCGACCATTTTAGGGGTTTATGGCGTCGGTCGGCCAGTTTTTGGTGGGGTTAGGGGAACAGTTAGGGTTTCACGGTGGTTGGGGGTGGCTGGTGGTGGTGGTTTTTTTTTTCTTTTTTTATATTTTTTTACTTGTTTTTCTTTTTGTTTTAAACTTTTTTTTATTTTGACCAATTATTGAATGACACGTGGCTGTAAAAAAATATAAAAAAATATTTTAACCTGTTTAACAAGTTGTAGGTAAAAAATTTTGTTAAAAGAAGATGACATGTAAAGGTGGGATTGCCTCGTAATAATCAAAAGGTGGGATTGTTATTGTCAGACCACCCAAAGGTGGGATTAATTTATTTTCATTTTTCCTACATTTTTTTTCTAAAGGTTTCACCAATTTAATTAGATGGTAATATATTCTCATTTTATATAATTCTTCTATTGTTTTTAGTTGCATTACTATGCAAATACGGATTCTTAGGCAACTTTTGCAAATGAGAAAGATAGAGAGAGGAAAAAAAATGGATTCATGTAGGCATGTAATACAAGAGAGATAGAGAGAGTTTATTACTCCCTCCTTTTCAATATGATAGTCCCATATGGAATCAATCACATAAAATAAGAAAAGAAGAATATTTGGAATCTAACATTAAAGTAAAAAACAATTCATAAATAGTTTTGCCTTATTTAAACTTTTTTGTTTTTTTAGGAAACCGTAAAGTATAATTGCATAATTCAAGGGAATAATTTCTTTACTTAGACTCATGTCATCAATGCACAATCATTAATTTAACCAATCATAATTTAATATGTATAAAATAGGAAATAAAAACTAAGTTAAAAGTATAATATATTCAATATGGGTATATCTTTTTGAAACGCCCAAAATAGTATATGGGACTAAAAAATTAAAACGGAGGGAGTAATTAAAAAAAAAAGTGATACAACTATTTTAAAACAGCCGTTTTAGAAAAGTGATGCAACAATTCCCTACTTATAAAAAGTAATTCCTATAAAATTACTCTTATGAATGTGTGATGCAATTATACCCATACTACCTCTGTTTTTTTTAGTTGACAGATATTCCTTTTTAGGAAGGTTTTTTTAGTTGACACGTTTCCTTTTAAGGAAGTTTTTTTACGTTGCATTTATAAGCTACCCCACTTGCTTTATCATTCTCTATCACTCTTTCTCCTCTCCTTAATATATGTGATTTACCCCAATTAAAATAATTTCCGGATATAACTAGCCATCGCGCGTGCATCGTGAGCGTTAGCTGCCCTAGTAAAAAAAAGGAAGAAATACCTTTTTTTTTTCCCTCTTGTGATACAAGAGAGATGCAGTTTTTTCATTTATTGTGATGAATGAAATGTCGAAATGATACCCAAAAAACCAAACGAAAATATGGTGTTATTAATCTTATGCTTAAAACTTTGCTAAATACTCGTCACTTAACTTAATAAAGAAAATTCAAGTACATTTTTTTGAGGGCAGAAAATTCAAGTACATACTGATACAGTATTGACCCTTTTTTTTTCTTTTATTTCATAAAGGAAACAAAACTCAGTTACTAATCAATGGCGAAAGGAAAAACATTGGAAATGCTTGATGCACTTGATGTGACGAACACACAATGGTACCACTTCAAGGTCTTCACCGTTGTTGGTATAGGTTTCTTTACTGATGCATATGGTCTTTTCTCTATTTCCTTGGTGTCCAAAATCTTAGGCCGTATCTATTACACTGAGTTGAACCCTAAGTACCCTGGCAACTTACCCATAAACGTGTCTTTTGCCATCATTAGTGTGGCCTTGTGCGGCACCCTCACTGGCCAACTCTTCTTCGGCTGGTTAGGTGACAAGATTGGAAGGAAAAAGGTGTATGGTCTTACCTTGGCCATGATGGCTTCCTTTTCCCTAGCTTCCGGTCTCTCCTTTGGTCATACTGCAAAGAGTGTCATTACAACTCTATGCTTCTTTCGCTTTTGGGTTGGGTTTAGTATTGGAGGTAACTACCCACTCTCAGCTGTTATAATGTCTGAGTGTGCTAACAAAAAGACTCGTGGGACTTTCATCGCAGCTGTGTTTGCAATGCAAGGATTTGGGATCATTGTATGTGGTGTTGTATCTCTTATTGTGTCTGCAGCATTCGAGAGTAAATTCAATCCTCCTTCCTTTAAAGAGAATCCAATTAGATCACTAACTCCTGAATGTGACTACATTTGGCGGATCATATTAATGTTTGCAGCTCTTCCTGCTGGTTTAAGCTACTACTTTTGCATGCAGATGCCTGAAACAGCTAGGTAATTACACTAAATATTCTAGTCAATTTTCTTTGTTACAAAATGCAAAACACAAAGCACTCATATATTATGGGAAAATTTGTCACAAGGGTCCATTTAAGTAGGTTTTTTTTGCTGTAAAGGTTCTTTAATAGAAAATGTGGTCCATTTAAGTAGGTTTTTTTTGCTGTAAAGGTTCTTTAATAGAAAAGGTCCTTTTATTACACTTAAGTTGTGGTGATGGTCCTTTAACCGGATTCTGACCATTGATTTTTGTTTGGTTTGTTTTCTTTTTTTTTTTTTCGACATCTTCATTCCATCTTTGTAATTTGTAACACCCAATAACATCATACTAGCAATGTTTATTGAAATATTATTTAAATTAATAAGCTAACCAACTAAACAATTTTTTTTGAAAGGTACACTACCTTGGTCGCTCATAATCCCAAGCAAGCAGCACAAGACATGTCAAAGGCTTTACATGGTAACCTTGATGTCGAGGAGGAGATACCAGCAATTCTTGTGAACGCTAAGAAGAAACAATTTGGGTTATTCTCAAAGGAGTTTGTACAATTATATGGCTTACGTTTGCTTGGGACAACTAGTGCTTGGTTCCTACTAAACATTGCTTTCTCTAGCACCCAAAATATTCTACAAAAAGACATATTCATTTACGCCGATTGGATCCCTAGTGCAAGCGAGATGAGTGCTATTAGAGAGGTATACAAGGTGGCTCGAGCTCAAACCTTAATCGCCCTATGTGGGGTTGTCCCTGGATACTGGTTCACTGTCGCCCTGATAGATGTATTAGGGCGAAGAATCATCCAATTTGTAGGATTCCTAAAGATGACAACATTCATGTTCATTATAGCCTATGGGTATGAGGGATTGAGGACACAAAATATTCGTTTAATAGTCTTATATGGATTTACCTTCTTCTGTGCCAATTTTGGGCCTAATGCAACCACTTTTGTGATCCCTGCTGAGATATTTCCGACTAGGTTGAGGTCAACTTGCCATGGTATATCGGCTGCTGCAGGTAGGGCTGGGAGTATAGTTGGAGCTTTCGGTTTTTTATATGCTTCCCAAGAGAAGGACCCTGCAAGAAGGCCATCAAACTTTCCAAAAGGTATTGGCAAGAGGAATACTCTCTTTGTTCTTTGTGCGATCAACTTTGTTGGCATGCTATTCACTTTCTTAGTGCCAGAACCCAAGGGTAAATCATTGGAAGAGGTATCGAATGAGGTGGTTGGTGAAGATCAAGAGGAAGCTTATGAAGGTGGAAGTTTTTCTGATGTATGAACATTAGAGAAGTTCTTGTGTCAACTCCAAAAGCTTTCTTTTAGTTATTTCTTTGCATAATTAAAAAAAAAAAAAAAAAAAAAAAAAAAAAAAAAAAAAAAGAAAGAAAAGAAATTCCATTTGATTCAAGGTGGTGTTTTTCACTTTAAGTGTTGATTATGCTGTATATAATAACAAGATTTGAATGTAATTTTTACTAAGGTTGCTTAAAATGATTGTAAATTTATAAATAGTTTAAGGTCGTAAATTATATAAGTTGACTATGCTACCTAAGCCTTTTTAATGTTTTCGACACAGGAAATTTTTTCATATAGTGTTCATTGACAAAATCCGTTGAGTTATTTATGATAAACTAGTTTACTTAAGTTGGTTAACATCTGGGTGGTACTCAACAAGACCTCAAATATCATCAACATCATTTGCCATAAGCTTGTGGTTCTCTACACCAAAAATAAATAAAAATTGATTATGCTTTTTTAATTAGTTGATTACTACTTTAGTTTCATATTAATCTCAACAGTTTGACTTTTGCACTATTCATATACTCCCTCTGCGTTTTAATACATATTACACTCGAATTTGATGTGCAGATGCTCAAGTACCAATTCACTTGAATCTTGGACGAGGTGCTAATATGGGTGTAATACGTGGCGCTAATATGAGTGTAATCCATTGCTTCAAAGGAAGTTTAGTACTCAGAGAGAGAGAGAGAACTAAGATCAGATCACTTGGTGTAAGGAATTAGGTTGATAAATAAACTGTACGTTGCTTCTTTGTATTGAATTGATTTGTACAAAATGATCAACTATACATTACAGCATTAGCTTCAAGATACCGGTAGAAAATCACTCTCATCAACAGCAAAATTTTCAACCTGCGATGCTGACACCTTGACGCCATGGCAGAAACATGCTGGCCGATGACATTGATCGGTAAATCTCAACCACCTTTGAAAGAGAAGGAGGTTATCAAAAAATACAAATCCTTCTCCAATTTTCGCCTTTTTCATAAATAATTTACATATATATTCCACCCTTGGTAGAGCTTCAGCTTCTGCTTTCTTTTGTATGACAAGTTGCTCTGCTATCGATACTATTGCTTGCACTATACATCAATATTTTAAGCTGCTTCCGGAAATAATCATGTCAATGAAAAACTTGGGCTGATGCGTAATATTCGCTTTCATTGAACACTGGTCTCAAATCTTCTTGTGACATGAAGTCAACTGGGAAGGACACAAGATGCCCTTTAACAGATTCTAATCTTTCCAAGGGATCAGTGTCTTTGAGGGTCCCATTTTGATAGCATTCTAACTTCTTAGGAGCTACCCCGAGATCAATGGTAGTATGCCCAAGTCTGTCTTTCCAGTGAGCCACATTCTGTCTAAGTGAAACTCTGAAAGAGAAAAAACATGCATGGTTAGTAAGAATAAGCTTGAAAGGAACCAGAGGTAAAAATGAAACCAGGGTAACATAAGGAAGAAAGAAAATTGCTACTTACCTAGAATGGATGAGATCATTAGGGATACAGGCAAAGACATCTTGGTAGATCATTGTATTGGTCTGTAACAAAAACCAGCCATGGCAAAATAAATATGAAGCCGATATATAACAGAAGTATTTGAGACATCAAACAAAATCAGAGAAGACGATTTATCACTTTTTATACACATATTGACATATAGTTCTTGCCTATAGGTTTTTGCACAATATTCAAGACACAGTAACCAGCAAACATTGGCTAATTAACCTTATGTATAATTACTATCTCCTTAGTAAGAATGATGGAGTATTGAGTATAGTATCCTCAACAATATTGTTGCAGACAAAAATCACATTCAGGCTGTGAAATAAGCAGATACGGAAGCATGGCAAGAGATGGCATATTATGCCAATTCCAGTTGCCCTTATAGTTCTGAAGTATAGAAGAACAAAATTGAGTATCCAAAATTCCATCAACACGATGTCTTTTTATGTTAAAGACAAGAAAATATGCATTAAATATATAAATATTTTTATAAATAAACTATTTTTAATTGAAATTACAATAGGCATTATACTTAGCTGCAGCCTTAAAAACACATTTTGCTCTCACCTTTGCAGTTGCCATCCAAATGTCTTTGTAGGTAGCATCAACCACAGGGTCATAAATTTGAGGAATCTGTTGCAGTAACACATGCATCATTAAACAAGTATTAACAAAATGGCATAAGATTTATTGGATGAATGCTAATTATTTTAAAACAATATCGTGTCACAGTAACAATAACAGTCGCAGCCACAACACATAGAAGCAGCATGACACAGAGATCAAAGTTACAATCAAACCATCAATGCTCCAATTTACATAAGCTAAATTCCAGGTTAGAATCGAAAATGTACCTTATATCTTAGATTTTATAGCTACTAAAAGATTGTCAAAGCATCATTTTGAAAATCATTTTGAAATATAAGGCCTTTGTTCAATTAATTCTATCTTTAAACAAACAATACATGACACAAAAGCTAAAGGTGGATATCCTGTCAAATGACAGCAAACAAAACTCAGATTTACACACCTCGCTAGGTCGAAGACCAAGGTGTTCAGCCCACAAAGAAAGGCGAAGGCTCATAGTGAATTTTCCAGCTTTCCATGGTTTTCCTCCCATACGTGAAGTTACTACTTCCTTGTCTTCAATTACCACTCCAATCTGACTCCAAACAAATAATATGAAAAATGTAAGAGAAAATATCATTTTAATATATGTACTGTACATAATATCATTCCAATCAGATTAAAGGATGGCCTAAAGTAAATAAAATTGTTTAGCTAAAGTACATGTGGCTAAAAGTTTCACTACATGTCCAATGAGATTAAACAAATCCTTAAAAGTGTCATGGACGACAAGAAGTTTAGCAGCATCTCTGGATAATTACATACCTCGGAGTCTCTAGAACCTAACAAACTCCTGTCATTGATGTTTGCTGATCCAATTAGGGCCATACAGTCGTCAATTATCATGATTTTACTATGCACATAGATCTGTATGACAAGGTCAGAATAGCAAAGAGCTGTCAGCCAGAGAAATAACTTATTTATTGACTGATACGAAACCTATATATATATATATATATATATATATATATATATATATATATATATATATATATATATATATATATATATATATATGATATTACCTGGCTGGTAACTACTGGACCACCATCAAACAGTTCACCATGAGCTCTAAGACCATAGAAAGAGATGTAATCGTGTGATTTAGGGCCCATAATATTATAAAGATTTTGCAATATAGAATTCACTCCTCTTGATATTGTTCTATACTGCCAATGCATTATTGCGCGAACAGATGCCGCCCCAGCATCATCTACACCCCCCTGTGAAACATGCAAGTACCTTGATAAATGAACTGAAACAATACATGAAAATCCGATGTTACAGACCACGACATAGTACCTGAAATCCTGGTAAGAGAGGCAACACGACAATAACTCGGAAACATTTTTTTTCATCGAATGCTCTCAAAATTCGCTTGTGCAACGCTTGCAATACCCGATTGTGTATTATCTCATCTCCCGAAAGCCCCGAAATGAAGAACTGATTCTGTGAGCATTTTGCATTCAAGAATCATTAAAACAGAAAGGTAATATACAAATTATCTGCATTGAAAAGCATGAAACGACTAGGAGATTATAGTAAAACAAGTGTTTAGCAGCTAATGTCAGTTGTAGAAGTGAGCAACAATCACCACCATGTTAGATTTTCACTGTGGCTTTTTCCAGGCTATTTTGGCATCATCAAACAAACCTTTAAGCATGATGACTAAACAACACTTGACGAGAAGCAATTTTCAACACATCATTAAATAACCAATATGTGCTTTAGTTTATTTAGTATATATCTTATACTTTCTACCAAAATATATCAAAGCCTCTTAAAAAACATTAAATTCATTTCAAAGACTCTCAGACAATATTTGAATTGTCTCAAGCAAAATGCAGTACAGTATCAGAAGTAACTTTGTGCTTGTATGGTATATAAATAATAAATGCATCAGAAGGAACGAATTAAATTCATTGTTTGATAGAGACATGATTGATCAGTTAAGAAGATTACCTCAATGTAGATGAAATGCTCAGCCTTTTCAATTAGTGAGCAATAGGCCTTGTGAATACTTTGTTCTGTTTGGCTAGTTCCAGCTGACCATTGACTGACACTCCTAATAACCTGAGAGTTAAATAAACAAGTGTCTAAGAAGGCAAGAAATCTTCAAACCAAAATCATAATGATTGGAGGAAATTGGAACTGCAATCCAAAGATTCCAAACAATACATGTTTTCTGGTGAGAAATCAGTATTTCACACTAATTTTAGACTTAAACTTCCATTCTTATGGGGAAAAAGATAGATTATTACCAACAATTAATATTAACTACATAGATTTTTACCAAATAACGTGGTAACAAAATTGATAACCAACCATACAAAAGCCCAAAACTCATAAAAAAAACTTTTATCATTTGAGATGGGTGAAATTCATACTTCAAATCGCTTTAGACACTGCTCAATGATAAATTGTTACGAAATGATGAAGATATTTAGCGAGATGACAGCTTGCAGTAAAGTAATTTAAGGTGGGTTACCCTAGCCCTTCACATATATTTAAAGAAAGAGAAAAAGATGAACACTCATACTGATTTTACAACTTCTTGCTATAGAAAGGAACTTCCAATGGATCCTAATAGCAGACTTTAGATACCAAAAATAAACCACTTAAAAACACGTTAAGCAAATTAAAGGAATAACCTCTAGCTTCTCTTGATTTTATCCACCATTAATCTTGGAATTAGCCATATAAAAATAAAAGTAAAGAAACCTAAGAAGAAATGAAATTTAAGTCAATCTATTACGTCAAAAAATATAAGAAATCATGAGGCAACAAGAGAGCTGCAAGAATGCTTGGAATTCTCCACTGAAATGACTACTTTTATATAATAGCATAAAGTTTTTAAGCTTAGAGAGGTGAGCCATAGGTTCAATCAGCAGTGGTGTAATGAAAGTTAATTTAATCATTCATTTCAAGCTTTAGTGACAAATGTCTATCAACAATCTATCATAATTGCTCAGCTCTCAAATTTTAATCAACAATAAAAAAATTTAATTTATAAGAGGTGAGACAGCTTAAAAGCATCTAACTAAATCACAATCAAAGAGAATTAACTGACCTGGCAACGACATGAGACACATGGTCCAACTTGCCCAGATTCATTCGAAGGAACAACCAGACTACCACGTTCTTGTGTCTCCCACCAATCTTTATCTAATGATTTCATGCCATAACGCCCTGCGCCATCCACTGCGTCAAAGTCATCAACAAAAGCCTTCATTGGCATGTCCAAATTTACTGGTTCAATTTTTGTTTTTCGGAAAGGGAATGGAACATTTCTAATAATCTTCATCTGATGGTCATGGCTCACATCCTTTCCATTTAACTTTGAATCATCATCCTCTACAGCCTCTTGAGGCAAAAGCAATGGTATATCTGGAGAAGATGCTCGAGAAGAAAAGGAATCTTGTCTTTTCATATACTGATTCTCAGCTACATTCACATCTTCAGCTTCTGTTTCCCAATTGCTTCCCATGTAATGTGGGATGACCATGTGTTGTTGAGGCATGAGCAACGGAATCGTTTGCTCATTTGGAGCTTTATTTCTCTAAAACAATAAACAATGGCATCACTTACAGCACTGTATTATTTAAATTGGACAAAGTAAAAGATGTTAAAAAAAAATTGTTAGGGAAATCATATCCACCTTTGCATAATTCCAGCGTTGAACAAAATGCCTTGCCACATCCCGGCAAGGTGGCCCAAAAAGGGCACAATGAACATCATGCCATGGCATACGCGGATACGCTGTGCGATCCAACTGATCTTTTATGGCGTCCTCCCAAGAGTTAGGTTCAGATTCCCTGGATTAGTGAGAGGAAATAGGATACGCAAAGTTATTGCTATCATGCGTTTCCAATCATTAAAAAAATAAAAAAAATAAAAAAAATAAAAAACATCTTAACCATGCATGACTCGAAAAGAGTTCTTGTGGAATTAATCTTGATTGCCTTACGCCTTAACATGTTTTGTTACTCGAGAACATCAATGGAAAATTTGTCAAAAAGAACCTTTAATGTAAGCCATTTTGTGAGAAAGGACCTTTATGAAAAAAAAAAAAAAAAAAAAAAAAAAAAAAAGGTGGCACTTAGGGACCTTAAAGTACTTCTTTGTAGAAAAGGACCTTTGCCTAAATTTCGTTCATTGACTGCCTCTTTCCGACATTGACTAACATGTGCAAAGCACATGCCTACATCAAACGTTATACGATTTTCTCCATTTCTCCTTATCAACCACCATTTCCACCATCCCTCACCACCATCCTTAAGATCAAGCACAAAATCAAATCTTGGTTTTTAAACCACCTTTAAATTTGCAGTGGCCTGCAATGGGTGTTCGCCTAGGTTGAACAGAAATGGATACGGGTACGGATACGGGGACGGGATACGACAAAATTAAAATTCCAAAAAACGGGTACGGCATGGATACAGCAAAAAAAATCAGCAAAATAAAAACCTATATAAAAAAATAATCACAAAATTCACAACATAACAACATTAATGATTAAAATCACATTTAGTCTTGAAAGCAAAAGAAATAAAAATAAATAAAAACCTACTAATAGTAGGAATCGAAATATGAGGAAAATATAATAACACCTATTATTGAAAAGAAAGAAAAAAAAAATATATATATATATATATATTTAAAATAAAATAAAATAAAATAAAAACCCTTAAATAAATGCAGAAAAAAAAATGACCAAATCAGAACAAAAGAAACAGAGAAAAGGAGAAAGAAGCAGAGTACTCCGCAACTGGTGGTCGCCTGATCGGAGATGGTGGTGGCCTGGTATGGTCGGAGATGGTGGTCGGGCAACAAGACTACAGAAGCAGGTCGCCGATCTACTCCATCGTCTTTGTATTTTAAGATTTTGGGCTTCCAAATCGCAGAGGTAAGTAATTAAAGAGGGGTTTTTTTTTAGTTCATTTGTACTAGGGGACGTCCAAAAAGTACCTAATCCATCTCCGAAACGTCCCCAAGTCACCTGAATGCTGTACCCATAAAGGCTCCCCGTACCACTTTTCAAGGGTACGCCATGGGACGTATCCTAGGCGTACCTGTACCCGTTTCCTTCCCCGATACGTCCCCGGTTTCTGAAACGGCATAGAGGAGGCGTACCCGTGCATCATTGGTGTTGGCTGGGTTCAAGGAGAGAGAATGAAGAAGGGAGTGAGAGGGCGAGAGAAGTAGCAAAGAAAGAGAGAGCATGATGTGTGTGTTACGGTGGCGAGAGGTGAAGATTGGCTAGCAGTGTGGTGGGTTTAGGGAGGAGATCATATATAGGGAGCAAGTGAGCAGATGGATAAGGTGTTTGCATGGGTGGCGGGCGGTGTGACTAATGTATGTGGTTGTGGTTTAGTGGTGAAAAGTGCAAATTGATAGTAAAATGGTTGTCGGCGTATGACATGGCCAAGGTGGTGGACATGGTGGTTCGGAGAGGAGAAAGAGGGAAAACTAAAGTCACGTAGCACTTAGGTGAGAGTTTTGGCCAAAAAAAAAAAAGAGTAGAGTCTATGGCTAGAGTCTGGATAAAAAATCCTTATCAACATTGAAAAGTACTTTAAGGCCCCAAAGTGCCACCTATTGTTTAAAATGTCCATTCTCACAAAATGCTCATAACTAAAATGTCCTTTTTTGCGATTTTTCAAAAACAATTGATGCATCAAAATGAAGAATTACAAGAATAGAAAAAAAAGATACTGGGAAATGACTGAATAAGCATTGTTAAGGGAAATTTTTTACGTTGAAACATTTTTACAAAAAATACAGATTCATCCTTCTGACTTATTTTTATGGATTGCCTGTTTGCCTTTATGACTTTTCCCCCAACAAATGACTTAACAATACAAACATGTAAGGCCTTTAAAGATTCAAGGCACTATCTAACTATTTAAGATGATTTATGCACAGCTTTCACGTGTATACTAAGAGTCTAAGACGAAGTACTCGATGATAGATTGTCTTCCATCTTCAACGTCGTCCAAGATTAGCAGTAATCCTTCCATCTCATGTAATGTGTCAGATCTCGGCCACATACCAGATATTGACCATACTGTTAAGGTTTCTCAGCTTACAGCGACAAAGATATTATGCTGCAATAGCTGCAAACCATCCGCATTGCAAATGAAAGTGTTTCTGCAACCGTTTCTAAGATTGTGACCACATCTTAGATTTAAAACCATGCTACTCTCATAAACTATGATTCCCTTCGATGAACATATATGTTCGATTAGGATGTCCTTGGTTTCACATTATTCGTGACATGATTGTATAAAATAAGAAGGAAAAAACAGAAATCTGTGTATTAAAACATTTTCCATTTAAGAACAAGAGATGTGGCTGAAATCCCATTTTTTCACCTCATTCCTCTTAAATAAGTTTAATTTATGTATATGTAACTAACTACCAGTACCACCAAACTAAAAAATCGGTTGTTCTGTTACTACACAGCCATTATGTAATGGATTTGGCATTTGTTGTCCGCAAAACATCGTTATTTGACGCTGCAACAGAAATCACATCTTTTTTCCCCATGTCGTCTATTAAGCAATGGTGTCTCGCCGCATTAAGATGTTTTATTATAAAAAAATAATAATAATAATAATAAAAAAATAAAATAAAAAAAAAAAGACCAAACACAATGAAATTAAATAGAATTATTAATGTTTTATTTACCCATTACATCCGTTCTTTTATTTAAATTGACCAAATATACTTAAGTAATTAATTATCTAGTGATCCATTTTATTCACAACACGTTATCAGTGATCCAATCTATTATATCAAATTTCACACCAAATATAATAGACCAAATAAAGCCTTTGATGTGAAATTTGAAAAAAAAATATTCACAACACGTTATCAGTGATCCATTTTATTCATCAGTTAAAAGTCGTTTCCGCACAACTCAATCGTTACCACGACCGAGATTGCATTCGCAATTTAACTCAGTGTACCACCCCAGACACAATGAATTTAAGTCTACAAAAAATAATAAATTAAAATAATCATCACAAATCATGAAAAGACCTTGTCCAGAGAAAAAATTTCATAGTGAGAGATTATGCTAGAATATTACTATGAAAACTGCCACAATATCAGATAAAAGGAAGCTCACCTAGGATTGTAATAGTCCTTTCCAGGCCATATAGCTGGAGGATCGTCACTCACTTTGTGCTCAAGTGTGTCATAGCGACCAAAGCACAAATCCAATCCACCAATAAAGCAGACTTGGTAGTCAACAATTACAATCTTTTCATGATGGGACCTACATGCAGACACACACTTTGGCTAATTCACATAATTTTATACAGCATAATAAATACCTAAAATACAAAAGTTAAACTCCTCTTGCAGCATTCAAATTAATTCTAAAAGTAATGTTTTAGGGAAGCTGCATACCATAGGTAAACACCAGTTGAAAAGTGATCAGGGAATCGCAGTACTTTCACATTTTCATGTATGCTAAGGAGCTTTCTTTTGCTGTAGACACTGTTGATTTTTAATGCTAGAGCAACCTCCTTATACAGCAATATATAGATCTGCCATCATTGCAAGCAAAAAATTGTTTTTTTTATTAATCTTATAAGGTTAACATGTTAATATATAGTTAATAAAAGAGCCTAGGATGGGCAAGAACTTTACAAAATGTAGCAGGCAAACTAGCTAAACAATATCAAAATTTAATACAATAAATAGTAAGTTCCCAGTTGCCATGCAAGTGTTCACTAGCTTATTTATCTCAGGAACTCGGATTCAGGTAAAACATAAGCGTGAAAAAGCTAGAGCCCTGGCAGACCTAGCAGTACACCAATGTCAAAAGCGCAACTTGGTTTTATTTAAAATCCCAATTTCTCAATCTACAAAAATTTAAAAATATTAAGCATATGGAACCAACAAACAGGAGATCCACGTACAATCTTTTCTTTTTTTTTTTTTCAGATCAGACAAATTTATAAATTACAAATGAAATGAGGGAAACCAAAAGGTCAAGAGTACAAGGCATCTTCCCTAAAGAAGATTCATAACTATGTCAGTCACGCTGGCTATTTGATAGCAAATATGATCAGGAAGCGCCAGAAGCCAAATACCACAAAGAATTACAGAAATCACTCAATCCCATACTACCCATAGAATGAGCTTTATCACAACAAATATGTCCAACTAAAAGGTGCTAGGTATCTTCCCTGAATAAGTTTCATAACTATGTCGGTCATAACTATGTCGGTAATTTGTTTTCTTTGTAATTGGAGCAAAACATATAATTACATTGACATTATTTTTTTTAATATAAAATATTTGGAATGATATATAACTTGAATGTAATGGTAAAGTAGGAAGGAAATTATTATAGAAATTAAATATTTCCTAACTTCATTTGGCAAAAAAAAAAAAAAAGGAAAAATTTTTGGCGGGAAATTTTTTAACCAGATTTCGACACGTCATTTTTTACTCTCCTTTAGTATATAGTTATAGATAGTCTACTGCAAACCAGTCCCACTCCCTAAAATTTGCCAGTAAATAATCAGTAAAAGAGAGATGCTAGCAACCATAAATCATTTATCAGGATTCTGGCTCACACAAATCAACAGATTGGCGATGTAACAGCATAATCAAAATTTAAAACACATATCCCTTCAAAAAAAAAAACAATTATAACTCATATGCATATTAAAGGATGAACAAACTACAGCACAAAGCAAAGGATGAGAATAACAGCAAGAATAAGGTCTATGTATCAATCAAATTAAATAATTCTTAGGGATAACTTTATTTCCCAGACAGTTAGTACCTGCACCCCTTCCTTGGCTTTTGCTTCGAGTAGAGCATCAAGTCGTGATGAAGCATACTCCTTAAATGGGCGTCTGAGATATAATTCTGGGCAAACCCACCAGCCACAAATAAATATCTGTGAAAGACTTCAATCAGTAAAGATGAAATTAGAAGTGTGAAGATATGTAGTAAATGTGTTATTGAGCATACCTCTGACTTAGCATTTTCAATTGCCGAGGAAATTGCTTCGAAAGCTGCTTTCCCATCAACAAACCACTGAGCCTTGCTACCATCATCAGTTAATCCCCTCGGAGGAGCAAAAGAGTCAAAGCGGTGTGGATGACACCACCCTTCAGGAGGCTTTAAACCAGCATCATTTATAGCAGAAACCCAGCACTTAGCTTTGGCACTATTCTTAGTTCGCAAACTTATGCAGCGGTTGCCACAAGTAACCTTCAAAGTTACCAATAACCATATGAGCATATGCTACTTATGTCGCACATTACATGCAAAACTACATAGGATCCAATCACAAGAAATGATCTCACATCATATATATAGGGTTGGGATCAAATGAGAAGAATCTTATAATGAGAAGAATGACAAGGAATCTTGACCGTGCAAATTAACCAACGATTAAATTTCATCTGTGCAAAACTATGCACATTTAGAACATAAAATGCACAATTAGTTTAAAAATTATGCACATTTATTTTCCAGTTTTCATAGTTTACTTTTCTCGTTTTCTCCTCCTTCACGAAATCTCTCCAGCTTCCATAGAATCTTATTAATTCTTCCATACACCAGGTTATGATATTTCAAATTACGGAGAAATAAGAGGAAAGATGAGATTGGAAAGAGAAAAGATTACGGAGAGAGAAAAAGAATTTGTGACTACCACCACACATGAGATTAGCTTAAAAAAAATACCCCCGTTTTGAACAAAAAATATGCACACTTGTTTAAAAAAATATGCAAATTAAGCTTAAAAATATAATTATTGCACATTGAGTTGAAAATTTATGCAAATTAAGTTATAAGTTTATGCACATTTACTTGAAACAATATGCACAAAAGCTTTAAAATTATGCAAATTTATTTCTCAAGTTTTCTTCTCGTTTTTACTCTTTTCCACAACAGACTTTCTCTCCTCTGTCAATGCTTTTTCTCAGCTTTCTTTCTTCCATATCCATTTTCTCTACTTAATTCATTTCAATCAATCATACATCTCACACTAAAAACCATAACCCTAAATTACAAAGAAAACAAAAAATCACTCACCAAATATAGAGTTTACAAAATAAGTGAACAATGAAATCAAGAATTGCAATAAAGAAAACAAAGGAAAACAGAAAATCTGAAAGAGATGTCAGAGGAGAGATAGAGAGAGAAGAATTGGTGAAATTTTTTTATATTATTGAATCTTCTCTTGAGGACTAAGAAAAGAAAAATGGGGAAGACTGATGAATATGGAGGAAAGAGAGGGATAGAAACACGGGAAAGAGAGGGAATTAGGGAAAGATATTTTTTATTATTTACTGTTTTGCCATTAATGAAGCATGTAATGAGGGTCATTAGATCATCTTATATGAACGCACTAGATTTCTTCTCATCCTTCTCATTATAAGGTCAAATGAGAAATACTCTTGCAATAAGAATTACTCTTGCAATGAGAAGCACTAATAACCCTTTGATCAAACTTAATCTAACGGACAACAGTGAACACCTGTCATTCACATCACTTTAAGTAATTTTAAAAACAATTAGGTACGGGACATTAACCATGTGATTGCACCCAAAATGGTCTCATTTTCTCTCTCTCTCCTCCCCACTTCCCTCCCTCTTTCTTTGTCATCATTATCATGTGATAAAGTTGAAAGGCGTGGAGCTCAAATATGGCGTCCATCATCCTATTTCTTCCTCTCTTCCCTATACCTTCAATCATTTTAACCAGCAACATTTCATTGTTGTGGTTCTTCAATTTTGTATATTTATAATTTCAACTAACAACCAATTTTGGAGCTGACCTGCCATTCTTGTTGGATCCATCTTCTTCTTTCTCTCTCCTCTAGACTAAATCCAGATATCGTAAATAGACAAAAATGACAATTTATCCATTAATGGAGCCAAAGGTGCATTGAATTTGTTACAGGTATTTGAGCTCTGAAAATTTGTCACCAGTCTCTTATTTTTTTGTATTGATTTAGTTGACTTTAAGTCATTTCCCCCATTATCACCTGTACTAGATGTTGGATGCATTTGAATTGTAAATTTCAATGTATTGTCAATGTTTCTGCAATGTATTTATGATGTATATATGTTTCTCACACTAAGAACATGTTCTAAATTTATAAGCACTACTTTTGAACAAGTTAAAAGGCTAGAGATCAGTTGCGTAAATGTGTTAACCATAGGGTAGCATGAAAGAGTCACAAATGACAGTAGTCCCTGATTGAGAGCAATATTTTTCAAGTACATCAACATTCTTATTAAGACAGAAAAGAACAAGAAGCAAGAAAATATTCTTTTACAGCCAGACTTTATGCACTTTTCCCAACTCACAGCTTCAATCATTAAGTTAAATGAAAATGCTCAGTAATAGGACCAAAAGAGAGAAAGCATTCGGAGACAATGAGAAAACAAACATTTAATCCAGTACCCAGATGATGAGTTGATAAATACATTGAAACTCTGAACCAGCAACTTTTCAGTGGAAAGAAAGTGCAAGAAAAATACGTGTGCAACGTCAAAAATTTTACTCACAAAGATTCCTTTAACATCAAGTTATCCCACTCAAAGCATCAATCAAGGAGTCAAGGGGAGTATGATACAGGCAGGGTTAAAGGAAAGGGAAAGGTAATCAAAACCCCTAATACCCTTTTATGGTGTATAGGTTTTTTTGTTTTTATTTTATTCCCCACTTTCAAGTTCAGGTTCACACCTCCCACCTCCACAAAAGGGATTTCAATCCCCAAAAACCACACCACGAACCCAATACCCCCGTTACCAACGCCACTACAAAAGACCTTACAAGCGCCTCAATCAACACCTCAAAACAATGCCCAACCAATTTCTTTACTCTTTGTTCGCCCTTCTAGCTATGCCCAAAAATGTCAGCCATAACTACCCCACCATCGCTCCCTTCAGGATATTAGCCACCACCATATCAACAACCTCACAGCAACAACCAGCCACTAATATCTCTCGCTGTCACACGAGCAATCCTCAATTCCAACCCCCCCCCCCCCGACACACAAATCTACCAGCCACTGTCCATTGGCCTCTCCATCGACTTCAACACCATCTTTGCACACCTACCAGCTGCTATACAATACACCAACAAATAAACAACCACCACCATGAACCATCCACCACACCACTGCTAATTCACAGATCAGAGAGAGAGAGAGAGAGTACATCATTTCTGTTGTGGGCCCTGTGGCTACTCTGTTTATGACTTTGGGAAGGTTGAATACTTGAAATTTTACATTGTAAGCTACAGAGAGCTTTTATTATAGTATTTCAAGCACCAAAAGTGACATTGCTGCAGCAGTTTGATGGCAAGATGTGGGGATGGGAGAGGATACAGGTTAGGTGGGGAAGAACCGTAGAATTAATGACTTAAGGGTTTTGTTATAAGCTATACACCAAACGCTAAGGGTTTTACAGCCCTTTCTCTTGACTTAAGATGCATAGTGGAAATACTAAGATCTTTCACTCTTTCCTTTCCTATCCCTGTCTAATTACCATTCCATTTACTGGTCACAAGCCAAATGGCTGTTATGGCTTATATAGGACAGGTTAGAGCGAGCTAGGATAATGCAGACAGAGGTCTACCTGCCTAATTTGAGAAAATGCAATTTGGGAGTATTCATACCATAATTTCAACTGCCAAAGACAAGTATCTAAAAAAACAGGAATCATTTAAACAGAGAATCAACTAAGGAAAAAATTAATCATGAAAATATAAAATACAATACGGATCACCCAACACAATCTTCTGCAAACAAATTGAAAGAAAGAACCAGTGTCAAGATATAATGTGTCTTGCCAGTCTACCTTAAAAGCATGGCGCAGAGGATTGTGATCTTTAATCTCTTCCGCTAATAAAACTCTTTCTTCTCCATTTCCATCCGAAGCAGGTAGCATATCAAACACAATAATATCCAAAAGGTTTGTATCAAAAGGGTCTCCCAGTAAGGCCAAAAATCCAGGTTTTAACACAGCCCAGACCTGCATAAAGTTCAATTCTTAGCAAAATGGATGAGAAGTTGGCTTTGACAAAACAAAGTAAACATGTTTTGCAATAAACAAATAAAATAGTTGATCCCTAATTCCGCACTAGAAATGATAAAATTTATCCTTGGTTTTTTTTTTTTTTTAATGAATGGAAATTATATAAAGCAATTACTTCGTAAAAATTCCCACAAGTTCTAGAGTTCACATGGTCCATGCACACGAACTGGTATGCAATAAGCCAATAATACATGGTTTGCATCCTTATTAACATCAATTCTCATAAAACTTTACAGTTTCCCCTAAACGCCTACACCACCCATTACTCCATCCATCCACTATTAATACTCTTGTTAGGCTTTCAAACTTACATAAGGAAAATATGTAGGGGTGTCGGTTCAAACTTGGTCAAACATGAATTTAAGGGGAAAAAGTTGGAGGACAATAGAGAGAGAAAGAGAATCGCAAAGTAGGGGGGATAAAGTTTGCAACATGACAAGATTAAAATGAAAGGAAAAAATGGGTGTGGATGGGAATTATTAATCAAAGTAGGTGACCAAAACATAATTCAAGGACATCCCAAAGTAGTAAATTATGGGACCAAAGGACTACTATTTATATAACCTAGAAAATTTGCAAACAAAACTCAACAAGACCACCCAATTTTCAGAACAAAGAACAAGAGCATCATCTGAAAGAGTGAAAAACTTTGTTCAATGACATACATACACAATGACAATAAGGGGCCAATAGGATATGAAAGAATAACATAATAGGTCTAAATCCCATACTACTACTACAAAAGCACAAATCACCTAAAAGTAATCTAAAAGCATTCACAATAATATGCTATTTGCTCACACAATTAATCAACAAAGTTATATCTTATTTTTGAATCAACTAAGAGGTACATAAAACAAGTGCCAATGCACCCCAACTTACAAGATATAAGATATATTGTTATTTGCTAACACATTATATTAACAGAGCTGTGTCTTTATTTCTTCATTAGATAGAGTTACAAAAACCAAGTGCCAATGCAACTCAGCTAACAAGATTCACATACATTTAGGGAACAAGACAAGCAAAACAAACGTATGTAATATTCAAAGCTGCATAAATGACAAGGTATTAGTACACGCAATATATTTTGTAAGAAAATCATTCAGTATATGTGCAAATAACAATAGATGATCAAGTAGAGGAAAACTGAAAGAGACAAGGTTTTCTTACCTTTTGCCAATTGTCATTGCACCAACTAAACAAATTGCATGTACAGCATCTCCTATGATCATCATCATTTGGAATTTGTGGAAGATGCTTCACCATGACATAATCTTCTTTAAGCTTAGGACCGTACTCAGGTGAAAATGATAATCTAGAGACCTCCAAAAACCTACAGACCTAAAGTACATTCACCCAATAGCATCAACATAAGAAACCTCGAGCTACAAGATTAAGTCAGATCAAGTAAATAGAAGAGCTAAAATCATATCGAATGTAAAGTGAAACTCTGAAAACCACATCAGTTAATATGTTGAGATGAAAGAAGCGCAAGGATTTTAGAAAATCTCAACTCCTAAATTCACGGAAATTTATTTGATTAGTCTCGATATGAAGTTTCCAAACATAAACTTTTTTATAATTTTTTATAGTATGTACTTTAAGAAGTTTATGAATTAAAATGTGCATTAAAGTGTAAACAACTTTAAGAAATGAAAGGAGATGTTTCTCACAACAGCAAAAAATTAATAACTACTCTTTTTTATGTACTTCCTCTGTTTGTTTTTTTTTTCACGTCGGGGATTTATCGCTTGCCAGTGCAAACTATTGTAGTAAAAATTATAAAAAGTTGATATCATGAAAGTGTATTTCGAGACAAATAAAACAAGATCTCACATGATTATATTTTTTCCAACATATAAATCACAAAAGACGATCAAAAGAGTGTGTGAATAGAGTAAAATTCCAAATGTTGCGATTAAAAAAAGAAAAGAATGAAGTATGTTTTTTTAAAATTTTTTTTTTTTTTTTAATCAACTCTCAGCTACATGCAGCCAGGTTCCATGTTGATATTAATCACAATAATAATACATGATGTGGGCACTTCTCCGGTGATACTACATGTTTCATAAAAATTGCAACACTTTAACTTTCACATTTTACAATAATAATACATAATGTGGGCACATCTCCAGTGATACATTGATATTAATTAGACAGCATATACATATATAGAATAAAATATTAAAAAAAGAAAAAAGAAAAAATAAAGAAAGGTGTAGCCATGCAAATGCATAGGATTTAAAAAGAAAGTTAATAAGTTTCTCTTTGCGGAATATGTGGAGTCATTATTAAAAGGCACAATGTGCAGAATAATAGAAAAATTAATAATTGAAAGACATTGTGCAGAATTACAAGGATTTTATTCAAAGGTCATAATTTGAATTTGAGAAACTGGCATTCTTATTATAATACAGAAGAAGAAGAAAAAAATTAGTCAATGTTAGTATGTGGATAGTGAAAAGTCAGTGTTCCACTTTTTATGAATTGGAGGGAGTGCTTTATTACACATAACAAAATAACGTGCAAAGATTTGAGCAAAAAGTTATCTACAAGATCCCTACTAATAAAGAATGGGAGTCAAGACAGCCAACACATATTGGGATAAAGCATGGTGGGCTCTATATTAATCATTTATATCCAAGGAACAAATTAATCACTTTAGTTCCCAAAAAGTTCTGGTTACCCTGGATAACTAAATTCAATCAAATCACGTGTAAAGTCAAGTCAAAATAAAATAAAGAGAGGAAGACAAAGAGTTAATAGAAGACTTTAAGGAAATCATTTCCACAAATCAGGTTGCACAACAATATCAAGCTCACGCCAAATCCATTAAAAATAAACCCTCATCATTACTAATTCGCTACCAAGGCTGGCTGTTTTTAATAGCAAAATTTTACCCAAACATAAAATGAGACCAAAAACCTAACTCCTAAGGAAGGCAGAGAAGATAAAAGAGAAATATTATATGAGAAGGAATGAAGGATACGCAGAGAGAAAGAGAAGACAGTGACACAATGCATAATTACCAATCTCGATAGTCATCACTGTGGGGAAGACAAATGTAAAAGACCTAGAGGAATAGAGATAGAGTGAGAATATGAGTTGTTAAGAGCATCAACTTCCATAAGGATTAGTGCTCTTAGTTTATATGATGACTTTCTGACATTCCTAGAGTTGTGCCCAACAGTGGAGTTTTCCAAAGAGTTACACTAATTTACTAAACATGTTCTAACTAACAACTTTATAATGAACTAATTCAATCTTGACAATCCTTTTAATCTAATCAAACAGCAAAACTAATGTCAGTATAAACTTGCCTAAGCCGTATGCAATTTTAAAACTCAATGATACCTTAACAATCAATTAGTGCCTGAGCATGGTTTCAGGTTTCATGGTAACGGTCAAGCAATGACAACCACTGTCGCAGGCAAAGCAATAGCAACCTAATATTCGGTTGCCCTAAGCTCAAATTCCATTACCATGCGGTCATGATGTGATGGTGTAACCAAGATCTAATTCCTTGGCTGCATGTCAACATTACACCAACTACCAAGTTTCCAAAAATAACTACAAATCAATCTTTAGCGTATAGGACAACTAACATAGTCATAAATAAACAAAAGGCAGACATGCCAACTGACACATTAGGTATGAAATATTATGCAGAATCTTGTTAGATAAGCAGTTCTGGAAGAAACAAGCACACCTCTCTAGAGTTAACAATATCCAGGTTCCCTAAGAAATGATTCAGATACCCCTGCATGGCCACCTTCGCTCTATCTGAAATAGAATGCTGTCGACCCAGTGCTGGACGAATAAGTGGAAGCGCAGCACTTGACGGAACATCTCTGCACAACAATAACAACTCAAAATTAGGAATTTTTCCATAAAAAAGGAAAGAGAGGGGGGTCACTTAAAGCCTCACCAACAGAAACCATCTAAACCAAAAGGCGGTGTAGCAAGGTATACCTATTCTTGGCACTTTCATCAAGATGCAAAGGAATAGTTTCATCTTCAACATCATCATCCTCTTGCAAAACTGGAGCGTGATCTCCTATTCCAAGGTTTTGAAGCCATTCTTTAACCTTATAAATAACCACATTGTACCAAATCAAAACCCAACCTCTAGTGTATACAATTAATGATTTTAAACTGGTGAGAAAATTTTCCAACTATTCAAACACACCTGTTCCTGCCTCTCGTGAATTTCCTCAATTATCACACGTTTCTTCAATGCAAAGTGTAAATATAACACTTGTGCAGCCTTCTTGTGTAATTGCCATTTGAACTAGCCATGAGGAGTCATAAAACTTAGACATCAGCTTCAAAATTTGAGATGTAAAAGATAATTCCAAAATAAAAGCTAATCGTGAAAGGAAAATGCATCAGGTATAATCTTTCATACAAGTTATTAATTTAAACAAACAAGTAAACAACAACTCACTTTTCATCATCCCACAGTGTGTAACATTTCTAGAAATGCATGGAATCACTATGTTTTTATTACTCCTCTCATTTCACTTTGTTCCCGTTACCCATCAAATATAATAAATACTTCGTATAAAATTACCCCACTACTCAATATAATAAAATTACACCACTAACTAATAACATTAAAAAATATAGTTTACCGCCCACCAACTATATTTCAAAAATCAAAAAAGCCTCATGGCAACCTCGTAATTTTGAAAATTCTACATGGTGGAAACAAAAATCATTTGGTCTCTAAAGTGATCTTGTGGTATTGTATACGTGCCCTTGGTGCTTTAAATGGTTTCCCAACAAACTATGACTAATTTCTATCCTTAACAGTATAATTTCAGAGTTCACCCCTAGTTAACACCCAACATTGACCAAATTTGACCACAACCACAATAACCCTGATAACCACCACCCACCAAATCCACCACATTTCCTTCTCTTACTCTACACCACCAAACCACCACTCCTCACTCTTCCTCCACCATATTCTCCCAATCTCTTCTTGACTCTTTACTGGCCCATCCTCAATGCCACCACCTATTCATTTTGTCCAGCTCATGGTGGTGTAAGAAGCGGTGGGTAGATTTAGGTGGATAGTGGTGAATTTCAAAAAGTGAGTAGCTACTAAAATAGGGTTGACAGGGGAGCTGCTGGGTTGGCCAGGAGGTGGAGGTGAACTGGTGAAGCAATATTGGTAATTGGGAGTGGGGAGTAAAAACAAGAGGTAGGTTAGTAAAATCAATCATTTGTTAATGAGTTAGCCATTTAAGATGCATAACTATAGGGTCTCTTTGGAAACTAAGTGATTTTAGTTCTGCTATGTTGAATTTCCAATAACACAAGGCAAAATTTTCTTTCCAAAAATGTCATACTCCTATTAGTCCCAACTATCATAATAAAATATGGGCACATGATGGAATATGCATGATTCTGGGATCCTATAGGGAAACTAATGATTTAGTTAACATGCAGAATTTGAACCACGAGGCAATATTTCCCATAAAAACACCATATTATTATGAGTCTCAACTATCATAATAACATATAATAAGTCAATATATGTAACTAAAACTCAACATCCATCAAAGTATGACAAGTAATTTAGGATGGAAAGAGTGAATGTTTTAATCTCCATCCCTGAAATTACCCACATGAGTGGTTAACTGGTTACCCTATTGAGTTCTTCTTGGATTCTGTTGCTACATGTTATAGAAAAGAACTAAAGAAAACAAATGTTTACAAGAATTGATTGCTCAATAGATTTTGAATATTAAATATAGTCCACAAATACATATATAGTAGAGTGGGAATAAAGAAAAAAGGAAAAGAATTGATTTATTAGGCCACACAATATTATACATTATACATAAAGTTCAAAACTCATGAACTAGTTACTAGTAGAATCTATAAAGCATGAGGATATCTTGACAATAGAGGGAATGATCAGTTAATTGGCTATGGTCAAACTATATCTCAACGGCACATTTTCAGATGTTGACTTTGTTGCTTTGTCTCATGCCCATTTTTGTCTCTGTTTCACTTGAGTGTTACATAAAGTAGAATTACCAAAAAAAAAAAAAAAAATTGACTTTTATTAATCAGATGGTACATTTATATTGAACTATCATAAAGTGTTTGATTGAAGTATTGCCAAGATATAATAAAGGTAATTTCACCAAATTATTCCATCACAAAAAGCAACCACCTGTTAAAAAAGAAAGGGATGGAGGATAAACCATCAAAGATTACTCCCTCCGTCCCTTAATACAAAGCCTCATTTCCTTTTTGGGTAAAATACAATGCCTCTTTCTATTTAAAGGTTGTATTTTTTTACATAATTACCTTCTTTTTGATGAGTTGTCATCTTTTTTCCTTTATTCTTTTGTACTTTTTACATCAATTTCCAACACTTTCTCTCTCTATCTCTTCAATTATTCCCAGCTACTTTTTCTTTCTCTCAATCTCTATCTAACCCTACATGCACATATGTACTTTTAATCATTAGTTTTAAAGAATTTACAATTTTCTTAATTTCTGCGCAAAAACCAAAAGAGGCTTTGTATTAAGTGACGGAGGGAGTAATAACTTTCCACTCTTTTGTTATTAATCCTTATGAGGTCAAACCTTTACCTAAAAGATACAAAGTTCAAAAGTTTAATGTCTCTTGCGTTATACTTCCTTCAACCTTTTTTTACTACAAAGTTTGGAATTTCATACTATTTACACACACTCACTTCTTTAACCAACTTTTTTGATTTACATGTTGGGAAAAATATCATGTGTTATCTTGTCAAATTTGTTTCAAAATTAACTTAAGTTTGTTAAATTTGTGCTAAAAGATAATTAAAGATATAAGAGGTGTATTAACAAGTGTGAAACTCCAAACAGCAATTTAAAATAAAAATGTCATATAATCTTTCATGGATATTAATATAGTGCACCTTAAAGGAGTAGTGTACAATTTTACATTGTGCTACAAATATGTTATTGTTAAGAGGATAAGCCTCAAATGTGACCATAAGTTATCCATGTAAAAGTAAAAGAGAGGGACTTATAACTTTTAATTCTCCGGCTAGTCACTCTTAAATGGGTCAATCTCTTACCCTAATCCAACTTATGTGCAAGAATATTGAAAAAGTAAATATTAAGTGGTGCACGCATAAAAATTGTCTATTCTAAAATTTAGCATATAGCTTGTATAAATTGTTGGTCCAAAAATCAATATAACATTGTCAAGTATTCAACCAATACATTGGAAAAAATGTTCATTATTTATTGACTTCATTTTTGTAGTTAGTTTTCTAATTACGCCACATAATATATGATCTTTGTATGAAATAACAAAATCATTATGATTTAAAAATAAATTAACAAATAAATAATTAAATACCCATTATAAGAAATAATTAGTAGTAACATACATTAGAGCTTTCTTCCAAAAAAAAAAAAACATACATTAGAGCTGTCAAAAACTGACTCGACCCGAGAACCCGACTTAAACCGGCAATGATCTGAACCCAACTTGTACTCGAACAATGGGGTAAAACTAGTGACCTGTAACCCGACCTAAACCTGACCTGATCTTAACCGAAAACCGATTTGATCCAATACTTTATGACCTGAACCCGAACCTGCACCCAACCTGAAAGTAACCGTCAACCGATTTAATCCCGAAAACAATTAGAACCCGAACTAGTACCCGACCCAATTAAAACATGTATCTGAGTCATGAAAGGTTTAATAAGATTTTATACACCTTTTATTCAGCTTATATACTGGTTTAATTTTGTAAACCCTCAATCCGATTCAATAAAATATTTTGTTCAACTTATATACCTTTTGTTCTCTATTACACGTATATAAGTTTAATAAAATCTTGATGATGTTTGATCAAATTATGGAAGGCATAATTATATAGTTCAACTTGACCACAGCGATATTAATTAGAATTGAATTTGAACCAAAACCCGACTAAACACTAAACCGAACCCGAATGTACCATCTTATTAACTCATCCAAACCCGACTCAACACAACCCGAACCTGAAATTGAACCCGGTCTGAATTTGACTCGAATTAACTCGACTTATATCCGAAAAGGTGAACGACCCGTTATAACTTGAACCGAAATTGACCCGACCCGAACCTGATGTGAAGCTAGATTGACCCGACATAACCTGATTCTGATTTAACCCGAGACTTGATTTGACTCGACCTGAACCCGACTTGAATACCCGAATTGACAGCTCTAACATACATGAAGCAAATCAAGCAAAATGCTTTATTCAACTCCAAAGCTGTTGATTAAAGAGAGAGTACACAATGGTTGTATGCAAAAAAGCCCTAATTTGCTTTGGAACCGAAGAAGTCCAACTATTGCACACAAGTCATTTAATAGAATAAATGTCTATTAGACCTCATTATAGGAAACTCAACACCTCATATAACTGTGTTTATTCAAGAATAACCTAACAATAATAAGCAACCATCAGAGAACAATAAATCCTTACCATAAGTAACAATAATAAACTACCAAAAAAAGAATGTCATGCTTAATTTAATACCAATATATATCTCTTAAAAACCCCCAAATTATTTATTCCATTTTAGAGCTTTTAATGTTACATTTATTAAGAGTAAATAAACGGAAATAAACATCAAATCTACATGTCAACAATTATTAACTCAATTGTCATTATAGTTTGTTGTAAACTAAAAGAGATGATGCTACTCTTGCTTTTGTGGAATTTGAAGATAATTGATCAAATTAGGGTACAAAGCGGTTTTGATTCGGGGTTTTTCTAAATCAAACTGAAATTTATATAAGTATGGGATTTTCAATGCATAACACCTTGGTATAAATTTCCATTCCACTGCATACCAGCTCACTGAAACAACCAGCTCCTTAAGGGTTTGGCTCATTTCATGTTGTCTATATCTATCAATTTTGGAAGCCATACCATGAAAAGTATTTGTAGACCTTGGCTCCAAGTCTCCAACCAAACATTATAACAGTGTCACGTCCATTTCATACCAATAAAAAAAGCTCCAACCAAACAACCCCTTAGCTCCATCCTAAAGAGAATCCAAAGCTACTGTCCCAGGAAAACAATATTGCTCACCTATCATTTTATTACAAAAGGTGTCATCCTTTATGAAGATCTACATAGCTTGCAGGCGCGACATTGATATTTTAAAATCAACCATTCTGTTCTACACCAGCTGTAATCTCCTTCAGTATCAGTATACAACAAATGTTCATAAATAGAACAACGACTTCCCTGATGAAATTCATTCCTTAAACCTCACTTCCAACCTTTGCAATAAGAACCTGCTCATACATGCTACACCATGGCACAAAAGACTAGGTTGAAAAGGATGATTGTCCCTTTGATGCTTACCAATATAAACGTGCAGCCTTACCTTAATATAATGTTAATCACCTTACAACTCTTCTAATTTTCCTGTTTGGAAACAAACGATGACATTATGTTTAAAACGGGGGTTGAGCATGAAACAAGATTTTGACAAAATAAACATTTGATGAGGGTTGTGAGTAAGGCTAATGGCATGAAAACAAGAAATTCAAGCAAACAGATATGTTACTCCATTTTCCATCCCACAGCAAAGATCTTCCACTTTATATAATCTATTCTTTTGACCTGCCTCTACCTCTTTGATTACAATATCAGATAAATTAGTTTGTTTATGCCTTGAAAGGGTGGAGATAATACACAGTGAAGACATTCTTGAGTCTTTGATTGGCAATTTTCCCTACTTCCGGAATAAAAAGGGCTTCTATAACTTCAAATTTTTTCTATTCTTCTTTACGTAGAGTAGAAAATTTGAAATCAAGCACCATTGCAAATTAATGGAGGACTAACCTGTAAAACTCTTATCTAATGCTTGCTCCACAAGAACAAAACCCAAAGGATCAGCCGTATTGTCATCTACATGTGAGATCAAGCCAGCCAGCATTTAACAACCAACAATTACCAACATGAAACACTGTGATATACTTTTTTAAGCCTGTAAAAAAGTTTCTAGACCATTCTGTTTCATCAGCTTCAATATACTGCATTGTAATATCAGCCATCAGGTCCTCCTCCATTAAACTCAAGTACTCAACGTGGCATGGCTCCAAGACACAGAATATCATGAAATAAACATGCCCAGAAAAGAAATGGATGGAAGTTCAAACACATGATTGACAAAATAACTGCAAATCATCAATTGCATCTGTGACTTTTTATACTTGCTCCTATATGTTACCTCGTTCCCTCATCCAAATTCTAACAAGAATACAAATCAAAAAAATACCGAAGACATTTGGTACAAAGGGTGAAGAGAGTGAACCCAAAAGTAAAGTAGTATAAGTCTTTTCAGCTCAAAAGGAGATAATACGAGTTGATAATAGGTGAGAATTTCTTGAAGTATACAGATATAAATTTTGTTCTCAGATTTATTGTTCCCCATACAACAAAGAAATAGAAGCAAGAAAAAAAGGGGCAAATTATAAATGCACCTTAGAGGCTCTCAAATCACGATGACTAAAGAGCTACCCCAACAAAGGAAAGTACAAAGACTAATAAGTTGAATTTCCTCGAACCCTCACAAAAAAAAGAATTATAATACAAACCACAAGAAATTATGGTAACTTGATCACATTTAATGATCAAAAACACATACCCACAACACAAAGCACTCGGGCTATGGTAACTTGATTAGATATTATGATCAAATATACAAACACCCAAAACACAAAGCGCTCATACTATGGTAACCTAATCACATATTATTATCATAAACACAAATATTCATAACACAAAACACTCGAACTATGGGTAACTTGATCACATATTATGATCCAATACACAAACACCCACAACACAAAGTGCTCGAATTATGGTAACTTGATCACATATTATGATCAAAAACACAAATACCCACAACAAAAAGCATTTGAACTAAGATAACTTGATCACATATTATGATCAATCACACAAATACCCACAATGCAAAGCACTCGAATAATGGTAACTTGATCACATATTATGATCAAAAACACAAATACCCACAACACAGAGTATTTGAACTATGTTATTCTGGTCACACATTATGATCAAGCACACAAATTCCCACAATGCAAGGCACTCGAATTATGGTAACTTGATCACATAGACAAATACCCACAATACAAAGAGCGCGAATAATGGTAATTTGATCACATCCCACAACTCAAATTTCTCCATAAAACCCAACTAAACAACCCGAGTAAATTAGTTAACTTGAGCTAAAATTCGAAACCCAAATTCAAACCAAACCATAACCCCAATTCATGTGCACCACAAAAGAGAAAATCCAAGTTAATTCCTCACCACAAAAACTATTAAATTAAAAAGAAGAGTGATGAAATACCTGTTTGTACTGCAATTCAATAGTATAAGACAATAACATGGGACTTATATCACCAGCATCAGGTCTAGAGACATGAACTATACTGCCTTTAGGCAACTCCTCAAAAATCCGAGTTGACTCAGTCGGCTCGCCTAAATTGAATGTGAAGAATGAGGACGACGTCCTCGCTGGTGCAGGTGCCGCAGTCGAAGGCGGCTCTTCGGATTCCATTTGCAAGTATGACGGCCCTTCGCCGCCGATTAATCTCTCCGATGCCATTGGAAATTCAATAAACTATCTTAGAATTATTAGATCAATTAATTGTAAAATAATTATAATGATATAATGAATTTTGGAATTTGGAAAGAATTTGAATTTGAAGAAATTGATCTGAAAAAATTGAAATTGTATGAATTTGAGTATGATTATGAATATGAGATCCAATGCAAAAAGAATGTTGAAATTGCGTGCAACAACTAACGAGCATAGAGAGGGGGAGACGCGGAGGGAGGAGAGAGAAACAGACAGAGAGCTAAGTCAAATACGGAAGGTCTTCTTTCAAATTACTCTCGCTCGTAAAATGTTGTGCTAGTATTTTTTGTTTTAATTAAATATTATTCCTAAATATTAAAGAAAATATTATACATAGTTCTGGGCTACATATAAGAATTAAATTTACACTAGAAAATGTTAAAAAGTTAGGAAATCATGAAAATATAAACACTAATTACATTGATTTTCGCGTGTTTTTGTCATAAATTCCTAGTTTTATACAATTTCAAGAGTGTATTTAATGCTTATATATAGCCCTTAGGGCTACATATATCATTACCCAAATAGTAAATATAAAAGTAAATAATCTCACCTTTGTATGGTCTGATAATAGAAGAAGGAAAGTTTGTAAAAAAAAAACCAATTTTTCTTTGGTTGGCTTAACATAAGTTGTGTCAAAAAAAAAAAAAAAACTTAACATAAGTCAACCTATCAATTATCTGACTAATAATAAGTTAAATTTTAAGGGTATTTACTTTGGTTAGAGAGTGAGGGATAGCTCATCAAGCGGTTAGAGCTGCCCTCCCGATTTCAAGAGATCTCGGGATCGATTCTCACCCCCGCCCTTGTGGCTCTCTAAACAAAAAAAAAAATATCCCTAATAATAAGATAAATTGTAAGGGTATTTACTTTAAATACGTCAATTGACCTACAAGCTACCAAACAAGTCACTTTCTTTCACATAACAACCTTTGAATAAAATTGCGGAAGCATACACCTAAATCAGAGGTATTACCGCCACACTCGACAATCTGTCAAGTGTTAAGGCTTACAAAATCCCAATAATTACAACCCGATAATCTAGGTGAGCTATTTGAACAACTTTATAAATTAAACTTGTTATAACAAACTAATCGAAACATTTGAACTCCTTTAGCTACGATCACTTGATTAAACTGCTTAGAAATCTTGACTGCTCACCATTAAGGACAAATTCCAAAATAGATCGTCGCATGGCCACCATAAGAAAAAGACATTGTCGCAACCACAAGTAGCACAACAAAATAACACACACACGTCAGCAAAAAGGTGAGTAATCACCACTTATCAAATTTACAATGAAGTAATATAATATTTGATAATATAATTAGCTCACTGACTATGTAGTTCGAAACTACATTCACCAAAATATCAAACTAAATACGACACTTCACATAACTAACTTGATAAAATCCCACCTCAAAAATAATAATATGATACTAGCCTTGGACATGGGTAATTCGAATAACTAACCAACGAGTATAAAAACTTGAATACTCTCAATAACCAGAAAGTACCTTGAACCAGACCACATACGGTGATACGGGCCAATTCCCACTGTAGGGGACCATAAAAAAATAAATAATATAAAGATCGTACCTCATTCTTAACTCATGATTATCATCCTCTTACCAACATGCCAAGGACTAAGGTATATAACGCTGAGTCTCAAACCAAGAACAAATAATATGCTCAACCTTTGGATCTCATATATCGATCAAATAATCATTCACAAACTAATAGATTATATCTCAACAATGGCACATATTCCCAAATAACATGACAATTCAATTCATAAGTATCTCAACTCTTAGGGTAATAATACTAGCACCCAAAACTAATTGATTCTCAACCTAAGATTATATTAGTAACCCTAAAACCTCCTCCCTAAAGCAACACATTTAAAACCTTCAAATTATAACACAATCAATATAATCAATAATACAACAAAATAATACGATAATTAAATCATATATCACAACATATTAACAATATATACAATAATTGGTCATATGAATAAAAATTGTATTAACCTACAAAGCCAACTCCAAGAAAATTTCGTGTGATTACCTTATACGAAGTAATAGTTATTAGGCAAAAGTTAAGCAAGATACTCCACCTTCACATTCAACCATTCACGCACATCACATGACTTGAAAGTTGGGAGAAGGTAGTTGATTGCTCAATTTTATCATGGAGATTATAAGTAATAATTGCACTAGGTACTACTATAAACCCACGGAATGAAGGTGAAGAGAACGAATTTTAATATCAAAACTTATGGCTGTAGAAATATCACTAGGGTTAAAATAGTTTATATACGCTTAAAAATATAGAATCCTATTTAAATTAAAATGGGGTTTTAAAAACTTCCGGACTCTAAAATAAAAATATGAGATTAGGAAAATTATTTAATAAATAAAAATTAATAATTTTTTAAAAAATATATTATATAAATCATAAAATATTCGGGTATTACAAAAACACTTTTGAAAAAAATAACAGTCTCTTCTTTTGACCAGTCCCAATCACCATCCAACCCCACTGACCACCGTACAGACCACCTCCCTCACCTCAATACTTTTCTTTCTCTGCCCTCCCCTAGGTCCTTTCACTTCCCTCTCCCTAAATTGTGGCCGACCCCTTTCTCTTTCCCCTCCTTAAATGCCGGCATTAGTCGTCCAAGACCAACCCAAAACCACGACCACACAACAAACCCATCTAAAAATTGAAATAATCCACTGTACCCACCTTTAATCCTACCTTAACCACCAAAACATCACCACATGTAACACAAAACCAAATCTTAACCATGGAACACACTCCATCCACTCATCTAATAAGACCCCACACTAAAAATTCGAAGAAGAAAAAAAAGAGTAAAACAGTAGAGACGGTGGTGGGATGGGGAGACAAAAAGGGATCGCCAGTTACCTGTAGGTGGGAGGATTATCGGCGGTGGCTTGGCTAAAATGTTGTCGCGGGCGCAGTAGGGTGGGGGATTGTTCAACATAGGTGGAGAATTTTTTTTAAAAACTATATTAATTTAAAGTTAAATTTAAATAAAATTTTAAAATGAACTAATTATATTATGACATGTGGCACATTTAAACTATGCAACCGGTTAACTTCAAAAGTACTCTGTCATGACTCATTTTTAGAAGATATTGTATTAATGTTGACTTATTTTTAGTTAATAAAAAGGACGGCTTATTTTGAGCTAATAATATAAAGGTTAACTTATTTTTGACAAATTTTCCTAATAATAATCCCACCTTTTGATCATTACGAGGCAATTATACTTTTGTATGTCATCTTCTTTTAATAGACCTTGACTTGTTAGTGACCGAATTTTATAGGTTACTAGTTTGGTGCCCCGTACGATGCTCGCCTTGTTTATTGAATTTTAAGATAAGCTTTTTAATCTATGTACCAAATTTTAAAATATATCACTGATACAAAATTGGTTAGGAATTGATGTGATTTTATGAAAATTTAAATTATGTAGTAGGCTTGTAATGACTAATAATAATATTGGTTTAAATGTTTGATTTAAAAAATTATATAAAAAAATAGCAAAGTAAGCTTGAAATATTAGAAATTTCTAAAAATTAGGCAAAAATAAAGTAAACAAAAAAATTTGTTAAATTATAAGCTCATTGGGTTGACCCAAGCCCAAAATTTTAGGCTAGTGTGAACATTTCTTGACCCGTGACAAGAAGTAACTCGACCCTAAATGACATGTGACCTGACCCGATTGAGAGTTCTACAGTACATAAAGTAATAAAATCATTTTAGATTGTGAAGTATTTTATTTCAATCGATTAGGATATATTATAAATGAATGTTGTACATTTTAAATTAACTCTTTTGCTCCAAAAAAAATTATGATATAAAAATAAATTTATATGATAAATTATTTAATTTGTTGTCTACGTATTGCGATATTTGGTGAAAAGTTGAAACGTCAAGTATCATTGTCTCGTGATCTCGCTAAACTTATAATTAATATTATGCCTGTGAAATATAGGTATTTTATCGGAAATAAAACTCTAAATCAACAATTTAATCTTATAAATTAAAGTTATTCATATTTTATTTAAAACAAAACTATAGGGTTTGTTTGGCATCGCTATGGTTTTTTGTTTTTCAAAGTAATATGATATGTCATATAATGAATAAAAAATTAGTCAAACTTATTAAAATAATGGTAATTTTGAAAACCGACAACTGAAAAGTAGAAACACCTTTTTCTTGTTTTCTATTTATGGTTTTTTGTTTTTAAAGAAACACAAAACTGGAAACAAAAAACGTTGCAAACAAGCAGTAAATTAACTCTTTTTTTGTAGGACTATATTAGTTATTATAAGTGGAATTTCATGAATCATATTCATAAGCACCTAAACCAAGATCACATGCATAACACACAAAGACACATAATTATACCTTCAAAGCGTGAATTCCACGAAACTATTTGATCAGCAAATTAGGAAGAGAATAAAGCCCCAAGCGTTGCTCCTCTACTTAGTCCACGGGAATTGAGCGAGGCGTCCACCAATACTAGATTGGTCGAGTGAAGTGGAAAATTGCAATCACCACCTTTAATGGACAACCGGACCACCACGGACGATCACCACCACCACCGTGCGTGAGGGAGGAGAGAGCCATGAGAGAGAGGAGTGCATGAGAGGGGGTTGGTCTCGTGTTTGCTAATTGGGGTTTGAATTTACTGATCACTGAATTGTTATGTTCAAACTCTAGGCACCTAGTCTATTTATAATCCTATTATAATTAGACTAGGTCACGAAGCCCAAAACCCTCCTTATTCCTCCATATGGTCGGCCACCTAGGGTGATGAGACCCATCATGGGCCTCATCCTCTAAGATTCAATCTAAGCTCTTTGTGTTACCTTATAGGATTCGTCCAATTGGGCTTTGGCCTATTTTACTAGCCCAAAGATCGTTAGTACCTCTAGCTATGATATAACGACGACCCAAATGTACGAACTTAATTATCTCCATAATTTGATCCATTTATATATCTAGTAATTGCACATGACAAATATATAAATCCTTCAATCTCCCACTTGTCTGAGACAAGTATGCAATATTCAATTTCCTTAGTCAATATGTGCTGATTTGATAATCTAATTGCATCCATGTCGAGATCATATTACTCTACAAATCGTTTCTTTAAATCTGAGTTAGAATTACAAAACCAAATGACTGTTGAGTAATGCAGTTGAACGCAGCCTCATATTTTCTGTATTCTCCCTCTTCAAGCGGCCATGACACATTTCCTAATATAATTAGTAGACTCAATCCAATCTTGTGGCAACCAAGGCTCCCA